CAGCACCATTCTAACTCCACACACAGCAGCGCTGCACCAGGAGGCCTGCCATGGGGAAATCAGCTCAGCCAGACCCAATACAATTTCAGAGTGAGTAAGCTACGTACTGTCTGACTGACAAATCATAAAAGCAGCAAAATCTGTCCAGTGGAACTGCATATTTATACCACTTTCTAGGAGATTTTTATAAGAAACATGCTTTTTTGGACACACACACATAATTTTTGTATGAAACTTGTATAGAAATTTATATAGTAATATTTGTTACTCTTTGAAACACAGCTGCTTTTTCCTTTTCTTTCCTCTCTCCTTAATTATGAAATGCTGTGTTTCAAACACTTCTCAGGTATTAAAAGTAATTTGATTAGATCATTATACAGATGGGCTTGCTGGCTGGAACCTAGCTAAGGTGGCTGATGCTTGACATGGCCCTACTTTAAGTTATGGCTTTTTGATAGTGTTTACTAAATTATTATGTAATGGTAAATAAATTATTTTCAGTATTGCTTTGGAATTTAGTAACTGCAGATATAACGTACTATTCAAAATGACTGGAGCCTTCCTATTTAGTGTTTTGTTTGAAAGCAGCCTTTTACTCAAAGGACTCTAATTACCTGATGTCAGCTGCTGTCTTCTGCTCTGCAGAGTCTGTCTGCTCACAGAGAAGTAATTTTGTAGTTTTAAAAATGGCAGTAGTGCGTTCAGCTATTGCAGGGGAGAATGAATGCAGGTACAGGCCAGGAATCATCTGTATTTTTATTAATTAACTGCAGCCTTCATGCTCTCCATAGGAAATTCTGTGAACAAAGATCACTATGTGATAGTCAAAGCTCCACGGTAGAACTGCTTGGGAGTATTCCACTGTAACAGCAGCCCACCACTTTTAGCTGTAGCTACTGCACTTTACCTTAAATTATATTTACTTATATGTTCTGACAAAAGCTACATTTACTTAAAGAAAAGAAAAAAACATGTTTTTTACCAGATTTGGGGTGTTATAGATTGCACTTTGGACTAAGACTCCAATTCCTCGTAACATCAGTACCCAAAGAAGTGTGTGATTGGCACACAGAAGGATTTCTGCACTGCCCTGATCATACAGATGAACAGACGTGTGCACAGGTAGCTGTGTTGTGTTGGATTATTAGGCACCTTCGGGTTTTAAAGCCTCAGGATGCTTTCTTCCCTTGCTGCCAGGAAGTGGGCTCCTAGCCCTTAGGTTCAATTAGTATTTCAGTTTAATTAGTGGAATTCAATAGTGTGTTGAACATAATGTAGATACTGTATATTGGCAGGTGATATCCATCATTCCTTGAACGTTAAACTTCTTGTTATTTCAGAAAGGATGTTTAACTTTCAGTGGTGGCAAGGGCTCACCCAGTTAGCAGTCACTGAAACCACAGTAAGTAGTATGTGAGAATTGATGTTGCGGGTGTTTTTTCATCTCCGTTGAAGTCTGTATACTGAGTGTTTTTGGAAAGCACATAATACTTTGCAACATTAAATTGCATTCAGAAAAAAAAATTGTTTGCCTTTCCGTACATCGTTTTTGTGGGGAAGAATGCAGCTGCCAGTATAATGTCTTGAAGTATGGTAAGGATAACTTCTCCCTCGTGCAGGTAACAGCAGTTCTGAGGAAGGAGGCTGCGTTATGCAGGAGACATTAATTAATGAGGTACAGATCACTTTGCTGAGCAAAATTACTTTTTGAAAGTAGAGTACATACTTGGAAAACTGCGAACCCACGAATCAAAAGAGACAAGTAGCAAGGAATGGCTAGAAATGTATGGCCTTTATTTCCACGTATCTAGAAAATTGTGTCAGAGTGAGTGCATCTGGGAGAATGAAGTGTGAATCTTCAGTATTCATTACCCAGGACTGTGCTCCCAACTTGTGGAGGGAGATAGTGGTCGTAGTGGATAGTGGGAGTAGCAGTTTTGCACCTGCCCCTCCCCTCCTACTTCCCTTTCACCACAGTTGCTCACACTCCACATAGAAGACCTTCTTTGAGATGTTTGCAGATCCTTGTAAGCCAATGTGATTGAGATTGAAATAACTGTTGTGTGAAAGTGTAGCTATAATTCAAGAATGTTACTTATTTGGAGATAATGTCTGTAGTTGGCAAGATGTCAAAAACAGCTGGTGGATTGGCTCATGTCATCCTGTTATTCAGCCTGCTCTATCTGGAGATTATTAATGTGCTTTCCCATAAAACAAGGGTAAGTAACATCATCATACCACTGCATTTCTCTAATAACTTAAATGCTCCCGGTCTACTTTGACCAAATTTGACAGAGACCTTAGAGATAGATTCCTACAAGCTGTGCAGGACAGAAGGCCAGATAGAAAAGCCAGGCCTCTGAGACAAGCTGCCTCAAGAACCATATCAAAATAACAGAGAACTTGCCCAGGAAGGAAACCAAAGCACTGCTCAGGTTCTGGATGCACTTTGATTGTGGCTCATACCAGCTCCAGTTTCAGGAACCAGTTACACATGGACAAAGTTTCACAGGCTTCTGGTCCAGAGGGGCACAAACTCGGGAACTATAAAAAACTGTAAGCTCCCAGCATGTAATGAGGAGGCAAGCAGGGGTTTGTCAGGAGCAAGTTGTGCCTGTTGAATTTAGTTGTCTTCTCACAGTAGGGTGTTTGCTGTCCCTGCAGCTACTGAAGAAAGCGTATACTGCTAGGTTTTGACACTGGTAAGATTTCTAGCACTGCCTGACAGGACATTATTATGAAAGTGCTAGAAAACCTGGTTTTGGTAAGTTTTGTGGATTAGTGTGACACTGGGTAGCTGCTTCTGAGCTGTTCTGGGTAGTCCATTATCAAGTCAAGTAGCAGGCAGTTTCTCCTGAGTCCCTTCTGTTTAATTGCTCAGCAGTGCCCACATGGCAGGCACTGGTAAACTGAAGTCTGGTAAAGTTCATGAATACCTTGAAAAATGGGTCCAAAATGCAAAGGTAGCTTGCTGAATTGCAAGAGCAAAGTTGAGTAAC